AAATCGTGTCACGCATAGAAATCTCGAGCGAATAATCTAATTGTTTCAGTATAAATCTACTAGTCGTTCAGAACTTCAAGTTATCTAAATCCTCTTCACAGACGCATCGAAAACGCCAAGAAACGGCCGTCATTTTGTTAACAACAGCACACTGCCACGCTACTCACTATCTGATGACATATAGTGATGGCGCGAGCAAAGAGAGTTTACATTTTGCCGATCAAAGTAAACAAGCTTTTTTTTCGGCACTTTTCCCAAACTTCCACTCGTGTTTCTATAACTCGATGGAAACACGGTAAATGTTTCCTATTAAAGTATGGATCAGTCGGAATTAAGGTTTAGAGAGGTTAATAGGGGACACAGAGCGAAAAAAGAGTCACAAATTCAATAATAAAACCTAATAAATACCAATACAGTGTAATGAAAATTAAAATTGGTCTAGTTACAAATTTTCCTTGTAAACAACTAATCATTGGCAAAGCTTATCATAAGATTTACTGATGGTACATTTCTGGGCGCGATCCAGGATGCAATACGTCACGTTCATTTCATTTTCACATTATTTTGGATCACAGTTATTGAAAAATTTCGTTTTTTCGCGCATCTTGCCCCTCCATGCACCTATACAATGTCGAGAAAGTGATTTAGCGTTGTAATGTATTTCAAGTTGGCTTTGACAAATGTTGTAGATTGATCGGGTTTGTTCCGCAATGCAGTTATTTAACTTTTTGTCATCTTCTAATCCATGATAGATATGAACTGATGTCTGAGTGCTGGAATGAAGATCCGTCCTCTCGTCCCAGTTTCTCGGAGTTAATTGACCGACTGGAGGTGTTCATGACGAGGAATGTACCATATTGTGACTTGGACAAGCATGATGAGACACGCTCTTACTACAACGTGCCCGTTATCGCTGATGAACACAACGGATAAGAAAGAGACAGAAAGGTCTACAGGATAATGCACTATGGACGAGAACTTTAAACTTTAAAACGCCATATTTAACTTGAAAAAGAAAAAAAAAATGACTATATATGCATGTAATCCAGACTTCAATCCTAGACAGACCTAGTTGAGACAAACTC